AGCATGTTTAACCAAATCTGCTGAACTATACTCAGTGAGAAGCCGCCAACTCACCCGAAAAGGCCTATCGGTCAGTACATTTCCACTTGATAGACTGCTGGAGAATTGTTGAATCGTGACAGTCCTGACTGATCCATTGGAAATGATTTCGCTGCATTGGTTCACAGTTCTTTTAGCTTCGTCCATTTTGTAACTAAACTGAACACTGTTATTTGTGCAATATGCACCCTTAAATATTCCAAGTTTGCCGACTTTCACAAGCAATCTAGCGTTAAAGGAGTTGCCGATGGAAGCTCAAAAATGCCTACTATGGAGAAGTCGAAACAAAATTGAACATACTCACGAAGGCATATATTACAGTAGATGTGCTAACTCATGAAATGTCAACCAAAATTTCGAAATTCGTTCTCGTTACGAAAAGATAAAATTAAGTAGTGCTGTAAAACTAATCATGATGCAGCATAAATCAATAATGATCCAGTTACCACAGGGCGTCGGCTTTCGAAAGAACTTATTTTCTGCTGCATGCAAGATCGATACTCTGCAAAAGGACTACCTAATTAACATGCAATTTTCTCACCGATTTTTGAAGCCCTTGAAAATTCAATTATAGTTCATGGAAAACATGCATAAACGTATTCAATCTTTTATTTATTGGGTAGAAAATCGCGTCTTCTTCCAATTTTATAGTCAAAAGAAGAGTATAATTCGCTTTTAAAATAGTTTCCAATTTTGAGATTTTTAATACCGTTAAATGGCCGTTCATGAAACGTCATGTATCTGCATTTACGTATGTGGCTTGAAAAGTTAACAATATTGCTCAAATTCACTGCTAACTTTTTTGAACCTCATATGGTCTCCTCTTAACACCGTAGAGAAATGCATGGATTTCCGTACACGGAAAATATACAACTTGTAGTTTTGAAACCTTGAATGTAAGTGCAACATCAGGTCGAGTTCAAAATTATTCGAGGATAAGAAAAGTTTATAAAAACCGAATTATACTCTTCTTTTGAGTATACAATTGGAAGAATGCGGACTTTCTATCGAATAAGTAGAAGAATGAATATTTTTATGCATGCCTTCCATGAAATATAATTTAATTTTCAAGGGCATTGAAAATCAATGAGAAACATGCATGCAACACAAGCAGTCATTTTTTCCAGAGTATCGATCCTGCATGCAGCAGAAAATAAGTTCTTTCGAAAGCCGACGCCCTGTGGTAACCAGATCATTATAGATTTATGCTGCATCATGATTAGTTTTACAGCACTACTTAATTTATCTTTTCGTAACGAGAACGAATTTCGAAATTTTGGTTGACATTTCATGAGTTAACACATCTACTGTATACTTATAATTGAGATGGCGCAGGGACTTCAGGTCCTAATTTTAACACTAAACAGAAACCCCATATTAGAGTCGATATGTGTAGGGAATTGACAGACAACTGACTAGTAACTGCCAAAGAGGAACGCGTTTTAGGCCTGTGCCGCCTCGTCCTTCATTGATGGACTTCTGCGCCATCTTTGCATTCTGTGAATAATCCACCAAAGAGCGGCTATTTATTGATGCGAACGCCCATGAAATAATGTTTGCTTTCTCAAACCTAAGTATTCTTTATTATCCCGTAGAAAACTATTTCGTTTTCTGGTGTCTCCCCTTCCTCAAATACCTTTGTAGAGTTCCTCTTAAAAGTAGACTTATTTGCAGGCTATTTGCCCATGTAACTTTTACGTACTTAGACTTACGCGTCCGCAACTGCAGAAGTTGTTATCTGCTAAATTTACGTGGGAGAGTTAAACTACGTTGGATGATTGCTCATCCATTAGCGTCTTAGTTGGCTCGGTTTATCGATGTTATGCGTTTTAATACATTTTCTATTCTCAGTAGTTGTTAAAATGATCCAAGCATATCGTAAACAACCTGCTATTTTATTCCACATACCACTCATTGAAGCAATCCGACGTTTTCCACCAGGTTTCTTACATTTAATGCAAGTACCTTTATGCAAAAGCAAATTAAGTCATCTTAATAATGGCATCTAAACTAATTGCTGTCCGCGCAACTGACATCTATGCTGCACAGGAGGATAAAGCAAACAGCCTAACAAACTCAGCTTCAACAGGGCCTGTCCTGTGGATTATTAACGTCATTTACCTGGGCAGCTGCGCAGAGAGTAGAGCATTGAGTTTTCTTTAACAATTATTTCCATAAGTATGTGTTAGCAGTAATTCACCGCATTGAATTTTACTGGGCGGATTTAAGCAATGCCCGTTGGGTTCAGTTTCGACCATCTTACTATTCTCTCGATAAGCATTTCTGGTAGAAAAGATGTCTCGTATTTCTGAAAACGTCAGGTTTACATCTACTGATACTCTAACGCAAAGTACAGCCTCACACTACACCGTGAGTATATTCTCTCATTTCCTGTACAAAAGGCTTTTTCGGATCACGAGCTTGAGGGAAATATACATATGCCTTTATCTACTTTGCAAACATGGGGTGATATTTGCCAAATTCATAATGATTTTAGGATGCAAAATGTTTGATAAATTACGAATAGGAGAGGACAGATATTATTTGTTGCTTTTACGCAGACAACCCCTTGGAAATGACGGTGGTTAGCTCGTGAGATTAGAAAAACCAGTCTTAGTAGACATTATTGATAGAGCGTACTGGGTTGTTCTTTACAAGTTGTGCGTTTTCGAAATGGCTTTTATGACGTATTTGAATATCAGCTGCATCCAATCATTTGTTCTTAAATTGACTTTTGACCATCTTTCCCTCCGCCAACATTGCAGAGTACCATAAAAACTCAATTTGTCACTGATTTATATTTGTATGAACAAGTCTAAATAAGTAGCATCTTCCAGGTTGCCGAATCCATCTGCAACTAAACGGGAAATTTATCGACAATTTCACACAGACAGACGTATGTTCAGTAAGGTATATATATGTTATAATCCGTGTTGGGTCATGGAAATAAACAGGTTGATGCTGGTAAAATGGAGACAAGTTTAAGTCAGAACTACTACATGTAAGTTAACAATTACCTTAATATGCATCCGGAAGTTGATGGAGCAGGTGATAAATTGCATCCTGTTGCAATCCATAGGGCGTTAACTAAAATGTGCATTTCTAGCTTATTGTTTTATCAAGCGATGTGTTTGGTTTCTACAATGCTCTGTTTTTCGGACTGCATGTTCCATTGGTCGGAAATCCATCTTACCGTAAATGGCAGTCGTTACAAACAGAAAGTCCAGAAAATATATTTAAACTAAATATACAGCATTCGTTTGCACGTTCTTTTTCATGCAAGATCAGTTCCATGGTTAATTCATTTATTTTGGTTTATAACTACGCCAGCTGTTGCAAAATTAACAAGGTGCATATCAATCCAGTTTAATCAATACTGATCCATTTTATTTCATATTTTTCCCAAAAGTCCCAGTGGGAAACCAGCAAGTCACGTAAACTTACTGGGCGCACATATGAAGGTAAGTTGTGGAACAAGTCGGCACTCTTAACGAAGGCAAAATTGAGCACTATGTCAAAGCAATTTACACAGGACACAACAGCAAACAGACTGCAATTGCTAGTAAGTACTAATGGACATACACTGGTTGTTTTACTTAAAACACTTTAATAGAAGAGAAATGAAGAAAAACCTGTTTTCCAGCCATCTGTAAAAAACAGAAAATAAAGAAAAGTCTGTTTAATGTTCTCTTAGGAATAGAACTTGTTTGGCGCTGTTGCGCACAAAGACGGTCTGTATTTACGGTTTCAGGCAAACGAGGGCTTTTCTGGTGTGAAATTCAAAAATTGAATAGAAAATGGACGCCCCGATTTATTTCGTGTCCTTTCATTTTATGCAGAGATTCATGAAGTCATTCACAAAACCAACATTCATCACCCCATATGGGCATGATTGCGATTTCAGAGATAAAAACATAATTTTAAAAAAGTAGACTGCAAATCAGATTGCTTCAAACAACACAAGTGAGCTTTTGAGGTCCGTGAAGTATAACGACAACTCACCTTGACTTTGCCCTATCGCGAACAGAAGGTAATAAATTTTAATATTTAGTCTAGCAACCAGGAATATGACAGTTGTGTTAACAATGTAGAATAAAGCAAAGACATCAGAATTACTGGCTAATAAAAAAACAGGCACCCTTGGGACAATTGAAGTTTTTAAACGTACCTTTATATAAGCCTATAATTAACCAGAGTTCAAAATAAAGTTTTTATCAAGGTAAACGTATACTTAAAATATGAACAATAGTAAGTACGGACGGTAGGACTTCCTTTTAATGTATGCACTTGCAAATAACTTTTACGAAAATAAATTATGAGGTTGATTATAGGGAGACAATTGAATGAAATATAATTACCTCAAACTCCAGCTGTAATATGAAAATAAAGTAAACGGAATATAGGACGTGCAAAGCATCCCAAATCATACAACGCAAAAACTAAGGAGGTTTGATGTTCATAATGGTATTTCTACGCAAAAGGACAATAATCAGCGTTTAGAATAATAATGACAATGGACATACCTCAGCAGAATACTGTAAAATGAAGGAAAAAAGCATTTTTCAATGACGAAACAAAAAATGTTTTTATGCTCCAACTACTATGATCTCATCTTTGGCGAACGCAATGGTTAAGCTATTAAGGGCACAGTGCGATCCAAGTACGTATGAACATCATATCTCAATTCACCGACTGCCTGATTAAGTTGCTTATCAACAAACATGCGGACGTATTTGACTTGATTGATCTGTCCAAATATAAGTCAGTACTGTCAGTCTGATATACCTATTACTGACCTCGGTAAACGTGAATTCCTACTGGTGGTGACACCAAGACATTACTAACACGCATCGTAAAATCATATGGCAAATAAGTGCTTATTTCTATGCAATCTCGTAAGGGCAGCTTATCCTTGACCATCCTCTACAGAGATAATACTTTGCACTATGTAGCGGTGCAGTTCAGATGTTTTTTTTTCCAGTTAGTGCTAAAACGATGTCCGCATAAAACGCAAAAATAGCCTGTACGGTGTACAACGTTACCTCATTGTTACTGGCCTGGGTATCATTGTTGATGGCACAGCCTAAAAGTTAAAGCTTGTATGACAATAACGATAAATAAAATGTGATTATGACAATATTTTTCGAAGACAATAACGGTTGAGGCAAAGCACTTCAGCGGACTTGGCCCCTAAGTAAGGTCTAGCTTGGTATAACGTTGTGACAGTTTCAAGTTAAAGCGAAATTTTGATACTGGCACGCAGTGTGTTCTTCCATTGTACTAGCTTGCAGAGTTACCCACGTGAGTACTAATATTTGCCCAGTTAGCACTAATTCATGATTCCTAATCCAGAACACATCGTCCGTTAACTCATATCACGCAATCAAATAGAAATAATCATTAGACCATGCCTTTGATGTAATGGATATCTAACACACAGAAGTCAGCGCACAAGCGGCAACACGCTACACTTTGTTTTAACTCTTTCCTGGAAAGCATGAAAAGGACACTCAAGCCAAATCACTCATTCACTTGAGTCCATACTTACCGTCAGATCTGCTGCTTATGTAAATGCAACCATGCAAGCTACAAAACATTCGTAGACAATTTACCCCTTATACTAACTAAGTAGAAATCCACAACTTTCATGTGACTCTTGTTCTCAAGAGGAAAGCGTTTATATTTTCAATGTGTTTATTTATATAGGCAGGCCAGGGACGCCCGCATGCTTATTCATTCAGTTATCGTCCATCAGCAATATTTCCATTATACTAAAACTCAGTATACATCATGACTGTCTAATGGACGCTATGATATTATTCCAAAAACTTACATCGTAAATGAATGCTGTTATTCTAAACTAAGCATTGATTACTTAGGAATAGGCTTCAGACAATTTTTCTTGTATCGTCATGCAGTCGTTAAGGGAGGTCGTTTAAATCGTTTTAAAACGGACCTTGTTCTGTTGAATTGGTTTTCTGCGTTTCATTTGTGTACGTCGAAGGAACTGTAGATTTGGGAAAAATGATATATTTGCGGTAAATAAAATTAGCCTTATATGCAACCCGGTGTTAAATCCAACACATATTAATGAATATCAAGAGATTAAATCCGAGAACTGCCCAGAAAAAACACCGTTGCCTGAATAAAAGCCAGCGTAAATGATATCAATCATCACTGCAGAAGCTTGTTAGCAAGAATCGTCTTTTATGGGGTATCCGGATCCGCCTATGAAGTAGTTAATCCATCAGGCTGACGTTCCAAATATTTCTTATCTTCTCATCTATAGCGTACTTTCCCAAAATCAAACATCCATTGTCCGTCGACACCTGCGATACGAATTCCGCCTTTGTTTCTTGAAGACGGCGCTTTGCGCACTGCGGTAATTGGGATGTTTTGTCGAGGCAACTTGAGCCTCTAATAAATGCCGTTGCTCAGGTGCCTAGATACAAATCATGAGCACACCAGCCATTGGCCAGTTTAAACGTTCGAAGTCTCTTAAGCAGTCTTATAACTTATTCTAGACTTAATAAGTAGTACTTCCAGAACAAGCTAAAATGTACTTTCTCTGAGGAAACCGAAGATGGCCACTCTTATAGGACCGTCAGACGAAGGGTAAATTCAATCATATTTCGACTCACCAGGCGAATTAGTGGTAGTCAGAGAGACGTCGGTCGTAGAAGCCGATGTAGCTGCGAAATCAAAAAATGCGAATAAATCAGTAGCAGATTTATAGAATGTGAACATAATGGAAATGTTAATTAGCAATAATATTCTTCCTGTGCAATAAGTAATGGAAAACATATATTTCACACTTATTTTACTTAGATGTCTGAAATTTTCCGCATATTGGTGTAAAACCAGTAACAGTGCCGACGTAAATCTCCTCAGTGCTTGTGTCCTACTGAATGTTTGTTGGTAACCTGAGAATACTGCTCAATTACGTTTTTGAAACTAATGACGTTCGGCTTACATATTCACATACTTTCAGAGCGAGCCTATAAAGCTTTGCCCGTAATGGTTCGCTTAGCGTTTGTGTATTTGTCTCCAAATAAAATCAAAAGCATCATTACTTTCTAGTTTAGGGAAGAGTAATATCATGAAAAGACTATGAAATTCAAAAAGCCCTAGAATTCAAATCACGCCTATCAAAATGCTTGACCCATACTTCTCTCTTTCTCCACCATGGATTTAGTAAGTACGAGCATATTGGAAAGTTTGCGGCAAATAAGATCACCTCTATTGCGATTTGGAAATAAATTCAGTGGCTAATGGTTAACGTACAACTGAGTACTTCTTCAGCAACCTAACCCAATGAACGCATGACGCATCACCGTCAACAATGTCCTTCTGGAATATAGTATGCATCTTCATACATTTGAACATGGGATTGTCTAACGGATGCTATGATAATACTACAAAAATATATTTGATAAAATAATCTCGCTAATGCGAGTCACACACTGATGGCTTAGTAAGAAGTTCAAAAGCATAATTCCTACTTCATCATGCAGTAATTATTTAATGTCGTTTAGGCCATTTCTAAACTCATCTCCTTTTGTCCAGTTAGCTTTATGTGTTCCATTTGCGTGCGTTGACAGAACTGTAGGTTTGAGCAAACAGTTCAGTATTCACAAGAAGATCGGTCAGCCTTACATGCGATTTCGAATTCAATCCAGCGCTTCTTATATAAATTTCAGGAGCTACTATCTGACAGAAATCCAGTAAACCACCGTGAGTCGAGCACTATCAAACGTAAAACATATCAATCCATGCCGCGAAACCTTATTAACACTAATTTCAGTCTACAAGTTAACCAGATTGACCCAAAAAGTAGGTGCATTGTCAGACGGGCCTCCGACGGGTTCTTCCTCTTTAACCCACATGCACCTTTACAAATTCAAACCTTTAGTGCTCCCTTATGCATGCATTATGAGTTTTGCTTTAATTTATAAATGGGAAATTTTACGCATTGGGATAACTGGTTTCTCTGGTCGAAACACCTGGACATCTTAGCAAATGCCTTTACTAAGGTGACCAAATAAAGACAATGAGTGCATTTGCTAGTGCCCCGTTCAATCTATCAAAATCTGTTAAACAGCCCTATTCGCAGTCATTCACCAAATAGCGCATGTCGGGCAGAACAAGCCAGACGAGTGAAAATTTGAAAGTAATTTAAATTCTCACCAGGAGCCTTCGAAGTGGATGTACTGACGTCAGCCGCAGTGGTCAGTAAAGCTGTTGCTTTAATAGTGAGAACAGGATTCAAACAGTGGCAGATGAGTAAGGCATGAACATAATAAAAAAATTTAATAATCTGACTTTTTTGTGCAAAATTTATAATAGAAAATTGATGTTGCGCACTGGTAGGGTTTACACGTCCAAATGTTTCCGTGTGTTGCTTTGTCAGTCTGATGTTTCAACGGTTTCTACTTTTTTCAACTTACAGCACCCGTCCAAACAACTAGGTCTACATGCTCGTGGGCACAGGTTTCGGGGATTTCGATTTCCTGTCTCAAAAGGATTTATTACGCATTTTGCTAGTTGGTATGGTTTGTCACGGCAACTGGGGATTTGAAGAAATTCTCTCGCTGAGTCGACTGGATACATAACATGACCCAGCTGGCTATTAGCATGTCCTAACTATTGATGTCTGTTCAGCAGTCCTATCGTAGTTATTTACCAAATAAAATATGTAAAAGAACGAATCGAAATGAACCGCTTTTGCCGAAATCGAAGACGGCCAACCCTGTAAGACTGTCAGTGTTGTGCAAAATCGAACATATTTCAACTCTCACCCGGAGCCTTAGAAGTAGTTGGACTGGCGTCAGACGTAGAAGTTGGTAAGCCTGTTGCTTTACCTACAAGGACAGAAATAGATTAACAACACACGCCTATGACATGAGCATAATAGAAAGTGTTTACTAATAATAAGACTTTTTGCATCAAATATGTAATAGAAAATTGATGTTGCGCGTATTGTGGGTTTACACGTCCAACATTTTTCGCAGATTTCGGTCGCACTTATTGGATTATGAAAATGTTTAAATGATTATCTGGCACAAACAAAAATGGATAGTATAAAAATTAGAGCTATAATGAAGGTTAAAGGGAACGTCGTTAAGGAATAGAAGAATGAACGTTTGTATGTAGGTCATCTATGAAATATAATCAAATTTATGAGAACATCGAAAATCAATAAGAAAAGGTTATACTACATAACTAGTCATTTTTACAGAGTGTAGTTTCTGGAGGCAGCCGAAACACGTTTGCTCAGAAGTCGAAATCCCAATTTAAAGGGAATATTTTTGGATTATACTGCGTGGTTATTATTAATGTAACCCTAGTTAAGAATCTTTTTGAGTCGAAAACACATTTCGGGATTTCGATCAACATTTCATGAGTAAGCACATACAATATAGTATGCAAAACGTCAATAGATTTTTTATGACATTGTAAAATTAAATTTGATCCATAGAATACCCCAATATTCTATTACGTCTTGTGCGCATTGGGTGGCCGACTCTGTTTTGTTTGAATTTCTTGCTTAGTAAGGGCTACAGTATGCGGGCTAACTCATGAAATGTCCGCAGAAATTCCTAAGTGGTTTTTAGTTTCAAAAAGAATGATAAAACAGGGTTGTATAACTAATCAGTATGCAGAAAATTTATATAATAGTTTACATACATTAGAATGCCGGCTATCGAATAAACTTCTTTTCGTATGTACATGAAATACTTACTCTGTGAAAAATGACCACATATTTAACATGCTTTTGTTTTATTGATTCTCGATTCCCTTAAAGATTCAATTATATTTCATGGAATAGATGCATACAAATATTCATTTTATTGCTATTTTGGTAGAAAATTGCGTCCTCTGCCAATTTTATTCCCGAAGAAAAGTTATAATTAGGTTTTTAAAACGTTTCTAATTGTCAAATGGTTAATAGGGAAACATGGCCTTTCAAAATTGCCATGTCTAGGCACTGCTAATGTGGCTTATATAGTTTACCATGTGACTCAAATTTGCTGCTAAATTTCATGAAACACATAAGATTCACTCTTTATGCAGTAGAGAAATGTAAGATTTTCCTTATGCAAAGATATACGGCTTATAGTTTCAAAACCCGGAAAGCAAGTGTAACGGCAGTTGGGTTCGAAATTATCCGGAAATTGGAGAGGCTTTTGAAAGCCAAATTATACCCTTTCTTTGCGCATAAACTTGAAAAACGTAATTATCTGGCGAATGAGTAAATAATGAATAGTTTTAGGCATTCCATCCATGACATATGATTGAATTGTTAAAGGTATTAAAATCAATGCAAAAATATATGCTACATAAGTGGTCATTTTTCACAGATTACGGTTTTTGCCTGCAGCCGAAAAGAAGTTCGTTTGTACGCCCACATCCTGCATCAAACAAACTATTATAGAATAAAGCTGCAGGTTGGTAAGTTTTACAAACATACTAAGTCTTTTTCGAACAAAAAATCATTTCGGAATTTTAGTCTATATTTCTTGAGTTAGTCCATTTACTGTACTCTGAATTTAAAAACGTCTTTTAATTATCAATTTATCCCAAACTCAACCCGCCATTGCATTTTTAATTAGGGTCCAGAGTTTTCATGCTGCATGCCGTCCGCGTAAGCAAAAATGTAAACTCCTTAATGTCATCACAAAATATTATATGACGCCCATAAAATGAAGCAATGAATGTCGACAACATTAAAACCGCATAAAATTGCCAGTCCAATGTAATTTCGAGAACTTTTAACTCTCACCAGGAGACGTGGTAGTAGTTGGACCGGCGTCAGTCGAAGCAGTCGATGAAACTGTTAATTGAAAAAATATAAATATCAATCACGCAGTGGCAGATGAGTAAGACATGTATTTAATAAAAATGTTTATTAGGGAAAAAACATCTTTGCAAAAATTGGGACGAAACCACTGATGTCGCGCACTTGTTCTGCTTAGAAGTCCAAATATTTTCCTATATTGTTGAAGATCTATGGACTTGAAAATATCCTTAGGTGATATTTTGAGCAAACTAGAATGGTCGGCAAGTAGAGTTTCAATCAAAGAGGACGTGCGGGAAGGGCCGAGTGATGCGCCGATGGGTGCACTCGCTGCCGGTTACGTAATGCAGCAGGAGAGAATCCCTGAAACACGCATTCCAGGACTTTAAACAGTACCCGCGCTGTCACGATGATAAGTCTTCCAACACTCGTGTCTTGTCGACTGTCTGGTGGCTGCTCGTGATTACTACGCACTTAATCCTATGTAACGGATAACCTACGGCTTACATATTCACCTACTTTCGGAGTGATCCTATAAAGCTTTGTCTTGCAAATTTTTCTTTCATTTTGCGCATCAAACACCACAAAAATTTGATAGGGCAGATATTCATTTTGGTTAGAAATATTTTATATAGTGCAAATGACTATGAAATACGAAAGACGCATCGTAAAATTGCCCAAGCCATCCTGGCCTTATCCTTTAACCGCAACTCACTGCATATACACACATTCCTGCAGCTAACGTGTTTTATATAGTTGCATACATGCGTATCAAGAAATTAAATATGGACAATATATAAACCTACCTGGTCTTGCATGGATAGATGAGATGCCTGAAAACGTGAATTATCATACATAACATAAATAAACGTTTGTTTTATAAGTGGTCTTATGTGATAAATAAGTTGCATCATGTGATTTCAATGACATTTTTTGGTTTTGCATACACTCTCTGAAGGTTGCTAGAATGCCTGAATGGATGGCTAATATAATTATGTAAATAAGCTCTGGCCGATCGGTGTGTTTTGTTTGAGATTCATTTTATTAAAAATGATCCCAGATACAGAAATCAACCTAGATGGTTGTGTGCTTGTATGTATAACGCTTTTATTTGGAGTTAGTAAAATAACTGTCATAAAACAAAAATATCTTGTGACGCCAATGTCACTGTTGACCTTCTATACTGCGTCGTACTCTATTTCTTCTTATAAGCCTAGTAAAAAACATTTATGTTTAGTTGTAATTGGATCGGAATGCGCTAATTCAAAGTTTCAAGGAAAATAATACGCCACAGTAGAGACTTACTGCAAATTGTCAGAACAAACGAAAGTATTGAGGCCGATCGCATACTGAGGTTGTCGACTGATAACAGCTAGTTGAACCCTCTCGAATGTGCTCTTTTATATTCCACCATGGTAGACTCTCGCCACTTTTACCCGCGCGTTTCTTCATGGGTCAGCGGTGTTGTGGGGAGAACGTCTGTAGTCTCATCGTATTAACAAACGCAAATTTTTGTTATGGGTTTGTTCAGACGATGACTGCATTTCCGCCAAACTCGGTCGCATCTTACTCAAGTAAAAGTGGTTTGCGATTTATAATGCCCTGAACATAGTGTACTATTGATAATATTCTATATGTTGCCCGCAAAAACATATCATGTTAAAATGATATAACGCGCTCAAATGAGTTGCATGCGCTGTGGATGAAACAAAACGCATTTCTAAATCAGGCTTTTGGCGCGGACAAATTCCCATCAAACACTAGTTTTATACTTTTATACTCGTTTATACGCCTCTACATGTAACTGTTAGCATTCGTTAGCGACTAATGTAATCAAAAGGTGACCCAACAAATGCAAAATATATTAAATCAAACCACAGCGGACGGTTCCAGTTAAATCACAATGAAGGAGGTAGGTAAAATTGATGAACATAATTTGCGCTATATAGACAGTAAATAGACTAAGCCATGAAATGTTAACAGAAATTCCAAAATGCGTTTCTGTTACGAAAAGATTGATTCAATAGGGTTGTAATACCAATCATCATGCAGCATAAGTCGATAACAATTCAGTTACCCTCGGACAACGGCTTTCGACTAAACCTCTTTCAGACTGCATCCAAAAAGCCATACTCCCTAAAAATCACTATGTATTTAGCATGCATTTTTTCATTGATATTCGACGGGCTTTGAGATTCAACTGTATTTCATGGAAAACATCCATAAAAATGTTCATTCTCTTGCTTATTCAGTGGAACATAACGTCTTTTTCAATTGTCTACTCAAAGAAAGGGTATAATTCGGTTTTATTAAACGTTTTCAATTCCCGAATAATTTCGAACTCGACCTGCCGTTACGCTTGCATTCAGGGTTATCCAACTACAAGCCGTATAATTTTCGCATACGAAAAACCATACATTTCCGTACTGTATTAAGAGGAAACTACATGGGGTTCATAAAATGAAGCAGTTGATTTGAGCCACATTGGTATGAGCAGATACATGACGTTTTACTAAACGCCACTTCACGGTATTGAAAAATCTCACAACGAGGAAACTTATTTAAAGTCGAATTAAACCCTTACGTCGAATATACAATTGAAAGAAGACCTTATTTTCTAATGAATAAACAAAATAATGAATACGTTAATTCATTTCTTTCATGAAATATTATTGAATCTTAAAGGACATCAAAAATCGATAAGGAAAATTCATACTGCATAATTGGTCATTTTTACGAAGTATGGTCCTTAAATGCAGCTAAAAGAAGTTTTCTTCGAAAGCCGACGAACTAAGGTAACTGCATTATTATGGAATTGCGCTTCAATATAATTTATTTTACAACACTACTTAATTAATCTTCTCAAAACGGAGACGCATTTTGGAATTTCTGTGGACATTTTGAGTCAATTTACTTAATTTAGGCCTAGAAGGCATATACGCAAGTGCGACCTCTCCGTAGCAAATGTTCTATAGTTCCTTGTGCCATCCTGCATTGTTACAGCAACCAATATTTAAATATTATGGCTACATACTCGAGATAAACTGGGGAAAATTTGTGTTTACAGACGCAGACAGTGTGGCATGACTACTGTTTGCGTAAGATCAGGTCTAAGCGCAAACGACGCACATTGGAGTAATTTAATGGCTTCTACTCACAAAGGTTCACTAAAATATTACCATTCAAATTCTTTGCGTTTTTGCAAGCAACTGCGCAATGCGCCTCATATCCATGTAATTTTGTTGTTCAGACTAAACGACGCATCCTACTTATAACTTACTTACCTATAACCCGCACGAAGATACTGCCGTCGATGCATGTTGAACTACTCTGAGACATACGTAAAGCAAGTATGATAAACTCTACTTCTAAACTGATGGACGTAAAAATTACTCCGTTTGAAAGTTACACCGCAAACGGCAGCGAAAGTGGTTTTATTCTATCTATCTGTATCTGATCGGTTTTTGATGCCTTTTGAAATTTACATAAATTTTATGGAAACTCTGTGCGAAAATATCTTTTCTTTCACTTTTTTGGTTGAAAATTAAAACGCTTTCATTTCTGTACTTAAAGAAAGTACATAATTTGGTTTTGTATTACATTCCCAATCCTTTAAAGATTCTGAACCCCACCAGTCATTACACTTGCATCCGAGGTTTCCAAACAACAAGTTGTACATTTTGAAGCACGGAAAATCGTTTATTTATCTACGGAACTAAGAGGGAATCATAAAGGGTTTATAACATTTGACAGCGAGTTTGATATTTATCGTAAACTTGATAAGTAGCATTAGTAAATGCTGATACACAAGGTTTTATGAAGGGGCATTTCAAGATCGTAAAAAAATCCATTAATCAGAAACTTCTTTAAAATCGAATTATGTCCCTTCATCAAGTAACTATTTTAAAGAAGATCAAATTTCCTACATGCATTCTCGCATGCACTCCATTTGATAGACCTGAATATATAACAGTACCGAAAATCAATGAGGCAAGTTCCTGCTACATAATCGGTCATTCTTTTGCAAAGCACGACTATTAGCAGACGGTGGATAAGAAGTTTTTTAAAAACAAGGCATCCAGGTCTAAGCGCAAACGACCCACACTGAATCAATTTATTGGCTTGTACTCACAAAGGTTGAACTAAATATAAGCAGTCAACTTCTTTGCATTTTTTCAAGCAACTGCACAATGCGCCTCATATCCATGTACTTTTGTTGTTCAGGCAAAACGGCGCATCTTACGTATAACGGGTATACTAATAACCCGCCCAAAGATACAGCCGTCGATGCATGTCGAACTACTCTGAGACATAAGTAAAGCAAATATGTTAAACTTTACTTTTAAATTGATAGACGTAAAAATTACTCAGTTTGAACGTTACACCGTAAACGGCAGCAAAAGTGATCTTATTCTATCCATATGTATTTGTTTCGGACAGCCTCAGATGTTCGGCTACAGACAAGCGCTTTTAATTAAATTGCCAGTGCGTTCTTACAGCTTTTGCCAATGCACATTGCTGTTGTTTGTGCGGCTGTTTACTATATACACACGCATGTGTGCAAGCATTTTGGTTTCGTACGCGAGACAATTAAAGGCAAACCAATGTAAATAGTTTGTTAGGATAAACCACGAGGTGTCCTTGTGTGCACTGCACATGATACATGATCATTTAAGTAGGGGTGTGCAAATTATTAATATATAGTTCAGTCCCATAATGATTCAGTTACTTCAGGACGCCGACTTATAGACGAACTTACTTCTGACCACCGACGAAAACCGCACCTTGTAAAAAATGACCACTTATATACCTCAAATGTTTCTGATCGGTTTTTTATGTCTTTTAAAATTTACATAAATTTAATACAAACTGCAGGTTACTGCCGTACACCGCCTGGGAACCTGCATACAGATGGTAGTTAACGTGCTTGCATTAGAAGACAAAGTTGCACTTATCAAGCTTTGGAATTCAACGTAGAGCTTTCACGACCACTTTTTGTAGACAAAAGCAAGTTTGCACTTAGCATGACTGGCAGTGCAAATTCTACTTGCTGCCCTTCTGACTTTCTTTCTATACAGTTCTGGCTGTGCATGCTATTCAAGCACTCAATGCACACAACAAAGCCCTTCTCTTTGGTCTTTAAACCAAAGCAACCGAGAAAGAAATATGTACTTAGATTTTGCATGCACGTTTCATTATGGATGGGCTTCCAATACACTGTCCGAATTATTGATAGATTATAGGTCTCTTACGCACAATATGATTTTAATTTTAATGATAATTTGAAACCCCGGAATTTCTTTAAGTTTAAGGTGCTTTGATGTCTTGAGGCATCTGCTATCTAGTCTGATCTTTAGCAGTGAAGCGTAATGTGTGCCTATGCGTCGACTCTCCGGAGAATCACCACGTAGAAAAATGAGAACCTCATTGTTACTCTATATAGTGCACAAATCTCTCCAGCAATCCGAGAAAAATAAGCCAGACGCAGCGTTAATTGATCTCACATTCAACGTTCTATGGACTTGACTGAAATGGGACCCCTTTGTATTCATGTGATAACTGCAATTCTTACATTTCATTCTCATGAATGACATCCCTCAAGGTTGTTTTATATTTAGATGTTGAAGGGTATGAGTTTATGCGACCAAGCACTCTGCAAGAGCTGCCGGTCATAATCCAATGACCTAGCAGCCATGACTCATTTTATTCTGGAATTTGTTCTTTTGTCATGCAGGGCCAAATTTTAACGTTCGCTCAATCTGTCGGGTTGCGTAAGATTAAAGCGACAAATGAGATTCAGCAATTCGTCGAGGAAAAAACTTAATCACTTTTGGAACCAGATTTTCTCTGTGGCCCTTTTGCAGCGAATAAGTGTTACTTACTTCAGTTGAAAGAGTACATTTTAATGGTTTAGAGTAACCATCAGTCAGCAGATGAGACAGACATTAACTGTGTTCATTGACAGATCAGTCTCGCTGTCTTCGGTTCGAGACAATGCCAGTCGTTAAGGCCAAGCATCTGGCTCGACACATGGCCCATATTTAGCGGGGGCGTTTACCAGCAGATCTAGACAATGAAGTAAACGCAGGCTTGTCTGATCTCGCATCGCCTTCGCCTGCCCGTACAGGCGCGTCTTCAACCAAGTAGGCGTTGAACAAACTTCAAGTTTCTGAGTTATGGGACCAACAGGAAAAGCCAACAGGAAAGCCAGGTGTTTTATCGAATTTTAAAAGTCAGATTAACAGATCTGTACGATATGGTGCCCTGAAGTGCAAATATAACGCACACATGCAAACCTACGATTAAGACCTCTGAAAATACTTTGCCGTTCGGGAATTTCTACCCGGCGTCACAGAAATAACCACCGCAAAATAGTCATTTGCAGTTATAAATCTATAAAAAATCACTAATCTTATAGTTTTGCTTCTGCAAACACTTAATTCCGACGCTGAGCGATCAAAACATTAACATCTTTGGCAAAATATCAGTATATATAGCCACTATGCCATGAATTCATAATTGTAGAACAGAGTTTAAGATTGAGCAAAGAGAGCGGAAACGGACCTAGTATAAACTAGAAGGCATGTTCTTACGGTTACGTCAGAAGAATGTTAGTGTTGTTTAGGAAAGTGAAAGAAACGGCCAAAAGGGTCATATCATTTCTTGGCCTCACCGTAAAAATCACAGAGTTCCGAAAACGAAGCACAATAAAAAGGACTCCTTAAAGAGGTAACTTTGAAGAAAATTTTTCCAATCGTTCTTAGTCTTGTTTTTTGCTGATTTTTGTTGTCCAAGTAAATTGTATTTCACAATGAGGGTTTCTGTTTGCCTGAGTCTTCAACTGTGACCCAGATGAGGTTCTTAATAAAAGGGAACGTCAGAACACTTGCGACTTAGGTAAATGCCTTCAGGTAGTAGCCTATTTTAAAGTTTTTAACAATCACATAATAAAGATTCATTTTTTATGAGCAACCGGACGAAAATACTGAAAATCGTGATGTATTCAGCGATATTTGGAGGCCGATCTAAAAGTCAGCGTAATTCGGATCGAATACAAAGTACAAATTAATTTCACTGATGAAAATTTCCACCTATATACAAAAAATCATATATTCACGATTACAGCTGCCAATTCAATTTAAATGTATTAGGTTATGCACAGGTCGGCCTAAAGCATGTAGTCTTTTGAAAATCTTTGTTCCTCTAACGTAAAATTTATTGATATCTTGTTTCTTCTCCTAAATCGCATCTAAATCAACTTAAATATGTAAAAGATACCACGAATCCTCAGGATCCTGTTTTGGAATATATAGCCAGAATGTAGACTGTTGGCAAGCCGCCATACCCGAACTTAAAATAATTCTAAGAGATTGTTTAAATTTAAACTTCATTTAAACACCACGTTTAAATATTATTCCACTTATGCTTTCATATTTGTTTCCATGTGGCTTTCAAATGCATTCTGTACGTCTCAAATCGATGTTTTCTAAATTGCGATCATTTTTTACGTTTAGAGTTTTTGCGCCTTCCTAAAAAATAGCCTTTCAAATAATGTAACACTTTCTTCAATATTTCTTTAAATTCTCTTTAATTTGTGCATTATTAACATAGATACTGGCTCCATGCATTAGTATCAGTTTGCGAGTAACTGAAAATTATTTGTAAATTTCGGAACTTTTTACGAGTTAGGGCACCCATTGAACATAATTCATTTTGTGCAGGCTATTCAGGTACACAATTTGTACTGCAAGATCCTTTACTTCGTTCTTTGATCTTTAAATCCGCTGTCTAAAAGATACACACTAAGATTATGCCATGTAAGTTTCTCTATGGAAGGATTGTGGAAAACTTATCGGCATTGGCAAAGTTGGGAGATCCGGGTTGATGATTTGAAGAAGAAGAAGAAGAAGAAGAAGAAGAAGAAGAAGAAGGTGGACTGTCCGAAACAGGTTTTTTTAGATGCTGACGTTGCAAAGAACCTGGCCGGCCCTCAAGCGTAAAATGTACTTAATCGATCAGAAGTTTCAAGTGGCATGTTATGTTTGTTGGCCTCATGCGGCGACGTTGTGGAAAAAACGTTCGTTATATTAGTTGTATACAAATAATTCTGAACTCACCGTAGTGACAAGCACAACATTGACTGTGAATTTAATAAGACAATGGCCGCGTTCACTTTTTCGCTGCCTTTGATCGTATCTTATTCCAACATGACTGGATTTCCCATTCAAAGGCCTTAGTAATTTGTGTGTTCTAAGATTATATGCTGAAATACTTTAAGTAGCCATTGGAATTCACTGTAGACGGACCCCCGTCTCGATGCTACTTCTTGGATTTTCGGC